ACAACTACTGAAGCCCGTGTGCTCTAGGGCCCACGTGCTGCAGCAGTGAAGACCCAATGCAGTCAAAAAAACCCCACTACATATACTCTCACCATGTGATCAGCAATGATGCTCCTTGGTATTTACCCAAATGAGCTGAAAACTTAAACCCACATAAAACCTGCATGCAATATTCACTGCTCTGTTCGTGATCGTTAAAAACTGGAAGCAACCAAGATCATCTTCATCAAGGGAATGGATAAACTGGGGGATTCCATGAAATGGACTTTGATTCAGGGACACAAAGGAAGAAGCTATTGATTCACTCAACAGCACGGATGAGTCTTAGACATATTTTGCCGAGTGAAGGAATCCAGACCCACATGTGATTCCACTCACAGGGCGTTCTGGAAAAAGCACAGCCCCGGGAGGGGGAGGGTCAGCGGCCGCCGGGGCTAACGGGGTGGGATCTTAGGCCGGAGCACGGATGCGGCGGCCCCGCCCGTGTGCGAAAACCCAAGGGGCTGTACATCCCCGAGACTGAACTGTGATGTGTGCAAACAGAAAAAATAAAGGAAATAAAAACTTGTCAAACTGTATACCTGGGATATTTATATTTCATTGCATGTCGACTTTACCCCTGAAACTCGAGTTTTGATCCTAAAAATGCTGTATTATTAATCAGAAACTTGGCAGGGATGAAGGTTCCCAGTAATCAGAACTCTTGTGGGGCCCCAGGGAGGCAGCTCTGCTCCACCTGCTCTTTCCAGAACATTCCCTCGAGGAACACCAGCTGAGAGGACCCCACGGGCTGCCCACAGTGGGGTCTTGGGCCAGCCCCCTGGCCTTGTGCTCTCCCAGGTCAGGCCCCCCAAGCCTGACCTCACGGCAGGACCTCCAGACTGTGCCGGGCCCCATCGCCCCCCTCGCCTCATCTGGGAAAGGGGACCCAGGACGGCGCCCAGAGCCTCCGGCTCGGGGTTGCTGTGGTGCTGGCGCCTAGCTTGCTCAGGGGCTCTCCAGCCCACAGGGCATCTCAGGGGGCCCCTCCAGGGCAGTGTGAGCTCAGCCAGGCGGGAGCCCATCCAGGGGCTGAGGTGGTAGTGTGGAGGGGGCAGAAGAGGCCTCCGGGTGGGTCCTCCATGCACATCTGGCTCTTGCAAGAGGTGGACACTGCCAGGGCATGAGCCAGGTCATGGCGATCCTGCTGACGTTCCTGGGTGAGGAGGACGCCTTCTGGGCGCTGGTCCAGCTGATGACTGACGAGAAACACGCCATGCATGGTAGGTGACCACCGAGGACAGCTGGAGTGCGTCAGGGCCAGGGGTCTCCCTGCAGAGCTCCCCCAGCAGTGGGCTGGCGGGGACCTGGGCCCAGTCTATGTCCCCATCAGCGAAGGGCACGGGCTCCCCGTGCTGCCCTCTGGGTCCTAGAGCCACGGCCCTCAATCCCGGCCTCGTCCAGGCAACTCTCCCTTCCCTGCTGGTCCTTCTGCTTCACACCTGCCACCCCCCAGTGCCCTCCGAGCCCACGGCCAGACAAAGCCCCGGCGGCAGCAACACCCCCTCCCATGCCCCCAGCCTGGCTGCCAAGCCTAGGAGAGGGCCAGGCACGCCCCCGTCACCCACCCCGTGGGCTGCACTCCCTGTCCCTCTGTACCGGGTCCCCCACCCCTCGCTGCAGCCAGGGCAAGTGCCAGGGCCGGACACCTGCCCACCCCTCAGCCCAGGGTGCCAGCCGAGCTGGGCCTCCGGGAGCAGGGCCTCTGCCCCAGCCGCCCCGGCCTCAGGCTGTCCTGCCTGGGAAGGGCGTGTCCAGCCAGGGCTCAGGAGGGCCCTGCACGCTGAGGTCACCGCCGGGGGCGCCTGCGGTACTCCACCCTCGCTGGACACGGCTCTGATTTGTGGGGGTCCGGGGGCTCCTCGGGCTTCTTCATCCCGGGGTTCCCAAAACTGCTGAGACTCCAGGCCCACGAAGACCACATTCTAGGCAGAGCCCTCCCCCAGCTGCAAAGACACCTGGTGAGTAGATGCATCGCCCCCGCCCCCGCCCCCGCACAGAGGCGCCGTCCCACAGCCACCGCAGGGGCTTGGCCTCCTGCAGGCTTCATTCTCCTTCTGGGGGGGGGGGGGAGCGGCGAGCTCGTTTCCAGCCGAGCACGCAGGCCCTGAGCCCGTGCCCTCCAACAGGATGAGGAGCAGACATCCACGGGCATTGACACCATCCAGTGGTTCTTGCAGTGCTTCATCGACCAGGCAAGGCTGCCCAGGAGGCTGAGTCCCAGAGGTGCTCCCTGACCCCCTCCTGATGCCTGGGGAGGACCCAGCCCCACACCCCAGACATGCCATGCCCCTCCCGAGGGGCGTCCAGGAGCAGCCCAGAGCCCTCCTGGTGGGCGCAGGGCATCTCGAAGTCCCAGCCGTTTCTGCTTTGGCTGCCATCAGAAGGCTGGGTCAGCCCGGGGGTGGGCAAGCCAGCGTTCTGCTCCACTGAGGTGTTCCCACCGAGCGTGGACAGGCTCTGTTGCCCCCAGACTAGGGGTCGTGCTGGCCAGATCCTCAGGACCTTGAGTCCAGGAGCCACGGCCCCACCGGGACGAGCCCCACCAGATGAGGAGCTGCAGGAGCTTGTCTGATGCAGCCCGGGCGACTGCAGGGGCCGGAGGCCAGTGGCGGGTTCTTACCCTGTGCTGGGACCACCACTGTGCCCTGCTCAAGCTGCCCCTCCTGGACCTGCTGTCCCCACAGACCCCCTTTGCGCTGACCCTGAAGCTCTGGGATGCCTACATCCTGGAGAGCAAGCACATGCCGATGGCCATGGTGTACACAGTCCTTAAGGTCCCCGAGCGTGGCGTGCAGGCCGCAGAGGCAGGCTGGCCAGCACAGGAGCCCAGAGGTCGCCCTCCGGAGCACGCCCTTGGCAGTGGCCCTGCCCATGGCTCTCCCGGGCACAGCAGACCCGCAGGTGTGGTGCCCAGCGGAACACAGCCGCTGCCCACGGGAGGTGCCACAGGGTGGGGGGGCTGAGTCTTCCCGGTGGGACCCCCGCTGGCCTGATGGCATCCACACCCCCAGAACACCTCCTGAAGCTGCCCCTGGAAGGCCTGCAGGACGTTCCTGCAGGAAACGCTGTCCCGGGCCTGGGCCCTGGAGGACGACGCGGTGCTCAGGCAGCTGCAGGCCTCGATGGTCGAGCTACGCAGGACGAAGTGGGACCTGCTTCCCTCAGGGGCACTGAGCAGCAGTCTCCTCCGGAGTCACCCTCTGGGGCAGTGAGCGGTGGGGCGAGCCCCAGGCCTTTCTCCTCACCCCCATCCATCTGCTCTTCTGCTCTAAGACTTGGCCGACCAGGCCAGGGCTGGGCATCAGGACAGCCAGGGGTCAGCAGCCTGGAGAGCTGTTCTCAGTGTTGGGATGGGGCGGCCATGCAGGGTCCCACCGGCCCATCCTGCGCAGGCCGAATGGCCTGGTCGAGAAGCTGACCTGGTCTGTACATTTCCAGCAAAACCTGAAGAGTTCCCCACGAGGCCCCTGGGCCTGGCACGACCTGCCCCAGCCCCCAGGCCTCTCCTTACCCCTCCCAGCATCAAGACGCTCCCCGGGGAAGATGGGCTGGCTCTCCCTGGCCCACCTGCCCAGCACGAGCAGCCCGGCCCCTCGCCCGGCCCGGCCATCCTGAAGGCCAAGGAGCAGTGGCACGAGGGGGCCACGGCTGCAGGCCTCCCGCTGGGGACCCCGGAGGCTCCGAGTCTGGCCTGCCTGTCCCCTGCCCAGGACAGTCCTCAGGATCGGCTGCAGCCACAGTGACGGAATTCCCTCCCAAGCCTCTCAGTGAACCACGAGGCCACAGGCAAGTGGCCCCCAGACAACGGCTTTGAGCCGGAATGCTGGGTCCTCTCCCCTTCAACACCTGCCTGGGCCACCCGCAGGGCCGTACGACAGGCACGGCCCTGCAAACCCACTGAGGTCCCAGCCACTGGCTCTGCCCAGCCCACTGAAGATGGCACTTCCAGGCCCACGACACCCCTCCTGCCCTGTGGCAACTGCAGCCAGCACCCCTCCTGGGGCAGTGACCAGCACGGCCGCGATGGAGCTGGGGCAGTGCCCCAAGAGCAAGCCCCGCATGTCCCCACAACCCCCAACCTCTGCGTCCACAAGGGAGCTGGACATTCAGGGGCCTCCAGAGAACAAGGTGACTGTGAGCACAGTGACCCCGAGGCCCTGGGAAGCCAATGACACGCCCTGCTTCTTCACGCTGGCCTTCCTTGAGGACAGGACCCCCTCACACAGCACAAGGCCCTGACCCAGAAGCGCCTGGCCTGGCCTGATTTGGGCCCCGGGAAGGCAGGGGCGCTGTGAGCACCCCGACAGTTGGGATGATGACTAAAGGGGCCGCCCTGGCCAGTCCAGAGTTCTGCCCAAGGCAAGGTGAGCCCTCTCGGAGCTGGATGTGGCCACCTGGGGCCTGGATGGGCCCCACAGGCCGCTTTGGTGACCTGAGGTGGCCCTGGGAGCAACAGGCCACCTCCAACGAGGGGATGGCAGGGGCCAGCGGGCCACCCTCACACACATAAGGAGGCAGGGCCAGCGAAACGCCGGACCCCACGCAGCCACCTGGTCCCCACGGGGCAGAACAGAGAGTGCCACTGGACCCGACAGGCTGTGTTCCTCCCTCTGCCAAAGTCAGTTACTGCCTTCCAGGGTCCCCAAAACTCAGGAGATACGACCCCACCGGGAGTCTGAAGAAGCTCCCCGCCCCCCAGCCATTCCCTATGAAGGCCTCCCTCCCAGGGAAGGGACAGTCTTTGGTCTCAGTTTCCCCTCTTGCCGGTTAAAGGTGAATAAAGTTTCGTGTGCTAAGTGGTAGACGGGCTGGTTCTCACAGCACCCAGAGGTCTCCGGAGGACGCACCCGGGGCCCGCAGAGGCAGAGAAGCTGCCGGATGCACGAAGCTGAGGTTCCCGCATGCCTCCTGGGGCGTCACTCGCACCGCAGCCTCCCGACCTCAGCCAAATGCCAGGGTCAAGACATGAAATAATTTACTGCGACTCAGCCTGTGCCCAGTGGGCCAGGACGGGGCTGGAGGAGAGTGACAACTGGGGGCCGCCGGCGTCAGTTCACGACAGTCTGTGCAAAGCGTCCCGGGAGGCCCGCGGTCACTCTGTCCACCGACCTGGGCTGGCCAGGCTCTGGCAGCACCTCCTTCCTTCCCTGCATCCTCAGCCCGCGTCTCATCCGGCACCTCCACAGCCCGCACCCACGCCGCTGTCAGGAGAGCAGGCACCTGCAGCTCAGGCAGCCCGGGCCACCCTCGTCAGGCGGGCTCAGCTTGCGCGCCTTGTGCTGCCGGATCTCGCGCACCAGCGTGTAGAAGGCATCCTCCACGCCCTGGGAAGAGGAGGCCAGCTCAGGGGGGGACCACTGCCTCGGCCTCGAGCAGAGCCCCAGCCCCTTCACCCCACCCCGCACACGGGGAGCTGGACCCTGCTCCTCTCCGGCCCCAGGGGCCACCCCGTGGACACCTGTCCTCAGCAGCTCCCCCGCGGCCCACTGAGGGGCTGGGGCTGACCAGGACCCGTGGGGCAATCTGGGGGCACAGGGGTGGGGGCCCCAGGGTCACCGCTCCGGTCTGGCTCAGGGCAGCTCTCTCCGGGGACCTCCACCTCCCCCGGGAGCTGTGTCGGCCCAGACCCGGGCCCTGGCCTCCCTCGCTGCCCTGCCATCCGGGGAGACTTACAGCGAGAGGGGCTGCTGGGTCACGGGGGTCCCGGAGGGTCCCAGAGGGTCCCGGAGCTGGAGCCAGAGCCAGAGCGGCTGCCCTGCGTCAAGGGAGAGGGGGCAGTGAGTGCGGCTCCCGGGCGGGGCGGGGCGGGGCCCTGGCTGGCTGCGGGGGCAGGGGGCCTGCTCACCTGGCGCGTCTTGGCCGACGTCTCGATGTAGGGGATGCCGTAGCTGCGGGCGAGGTCCTGGGCCTGCCGAGACTCCACGGTGCGCGCGGCCAGGTCACACTTGTTCCCCACCAGCACCATGGGCACGTCGTCCGAGTCCTTCACCCGTTTGATCTGCTCCCTGCAAGGGGGAAGGCGTGAGCCGGCGGGCAGGCTGCCCGCGGCCCCTGAGGGAGGACAGGAGGCCCCCGAGGGCTGGCGGGCAGCTCACCTGTACTGGTGGATGTCCTCGAAGGACTTGGCGTTGTTGATGGCAAACACACAAAGGAAGCCCTCCCCGGTGCGCATGTACTGGTCCCGCATGGCGCTGTACTCCTCCTGGCCCGCCGTGTCCAGGATGTCCAACAGGCACGTCTCCCCATCGATGACCACTTGCTTCCGGTAGGAGTCCTGGGGAGGACACTGCTTAGAGACAGCAGGCCCTCCGGGGATGGGACCCTCCCTCGCTCCTCTCGTGCCCCCCAGGACCTACGACGAAGAGACCCCTTCCTGCAGAGTGGGTAGAAAACAAGCCCGTGCCAGGAGCCAGGCTGTGGACAGGGGCCAGGCCAGCTCACCTCTATGGTGGGGTCGTACTCATCCACAAAGTGGTTCTGGATGAGCTGGATGGTCAGGGCGCTCTTCCCCACGCCTCCAGCGCCCACCACCACGAGCTTATACTCCGTCATTGCTCCTCAAAGGACCACAGCACAAGGCACTGCAGTGGTCGCTTGTCCCACCTGCCGAGGAAGCGGCACTCAGCACGGCCAGACCACGCAGGGGAGGCCCACTGAGCTGCCTGGGCCAGCCTGCCCAGGCCCAGCCTGCCCTCTGGGCCCGGACATCCAGGTAACAGGGGCGGCAGCCAGAATGGTGGCCCAGCCGCTCACCTGTGGCACCTCCAGCCCAGAGGTGGGAGGGGGGTCCTGCCTCCAGCTGCATTTAATGACTGTGTGAGAGAAGCAGGGAGCCGGCTCCCCAGAGGCAGGGCTGACAGCTGAGAGCGTCTCCCAAGCATGCACCCGAATTAGAAGCTGCTGGGTAGGCAAGAAGCCTGAACTGGAAGCGCCGTGGGCTGACGTTACCAGCGCCCCCATGAGAACAGGCCTTGCCACAGTGGCGGACACAGCAGCGTGCCCGGACAGGCTGGTGGCAGCCGACAACCGGCTCCAGGCCCCCCCACCCCCGGGCATGCTGGTGCATTTGACAAGTATTCACTGAGCACCTACTGCATGCCAGGTACTGCTCCAGACACACGATAACGAGCAGACAGAAAGTACCCCTGCCTTGGCAGGTTCGGGCTACGCTCCAAAGAAAAAATCCACATAAAGGAAAAATAAAGGGAAACCCACGGGGCCCCACTGCCAGAAGAACTTTGGAGAGCATAAGGAAGGTGAGGAGGTGGGCAGGGGGCCAGGGCTCCAGGAAGCAGAAGCCGATCACAGGAAAAGACCCAAAGGAGGTGTGGAAATAAGGACACAGGTGAGAAAGGAAAAAGGCTTGGGGCCAAGGCCCCTAGCTGGGGTGCCCCCAATTTGTGACGCTTAAAGAAGGGATGCCCTTGTGGGGACAGTGGGCAGTGACTTCCTAAACCTCAGATTCGTCTGGTGTATGTGATGGCCGCCCGGTGCCCGAGCTCTTCGCAGGGGTCCTTGGGTCTCTGGCGGGTGGGAGACCCCGCCTAGCGCCATGGTCACGGGCGGGCCTCCGCTCGGGGACACCCAGTGCACTTGTGGGGCCCCGGAAGACAGGGCCCGGGACACGGAGCCGAAGGGGTTGGTCTGGGTGAGGCAGAGCGGACCAGCCGCCGCCCGCAACCCCCGCCGCAGCGCCCCGCCCGCCGCCGCCCGCGGCTCACCTGCGCCCCCGCGCGCCCTGCGAGGACAGCAGGCCCCCCGCCCGGCCCTCGCCGCCCCCGCCGCACTCACCGCTCACTGGCACGACTGCCCCCGGGGCCGGAGCCGGGGCGGGGGCGGCGGCGGGGGCCGGGGTCGGGGCACTTGGCTCGCCCGGCGCATGGGCTCCGTCCGCGGCGGGTGCGGCTCGGGCTGCGGGCGGCGGACACCCGACCGGGCCGCGCACGCCCCGCCCCGCGCCCGTCCGTCAGCCCGGCACAGCCTGCCATTGGCCGCGCGCGCCGGGCCCCGCTCTGCCCCACCCCGGTTGGCCGAGAGGCCCGCCCGTCAGAGGCCTCGGCCGGGCGGGGCTTCCGGGAGCTGCGCGGAGGGCGGTTCCCGCCCGGCTGGGCCTCGTGGGCCGCGGCCTGAGGGGTTGGCTCCGCTGGGGACGGGGTCCGGGGGAGACAGCTTCTCCGGAAACTGCCCAGACTCTCCCGGGAACAGTCGGGACTCGCGGGGAGATAGAGACCCCGCGGCGAAGCGGGTCCGCGGCCGGGTGTGGACTGGGGCGGGGTCGCTGATGTCCGACTCGAGCCCCTGCGCCGCTCCTGGAGCCCAGCGCCGGGCCCCTGGGCACCTTCACGGCGCGCACAGCTGTGCCCACGCCCCCCTAGGCCGTCCCTGCGCCGTGCCGCGCAGCACACCGTAGGGGTTCCGGAGCGGAGGGGACAGCCCGAGGGCTGAGCCTCAGGGAGGGTGGAGCCCGCGGGGTCAGCACCGCAGACTCCCCCGGACCCGAGGCCGGGGAAAAGCGGAGGGGCTGCCGGGACGCGGGTCAGGTGCAGGTGGCTTCGGAAGGGGCTCCTCCCGGCTCCCAGGACGCCTGGCAGGTTCGGCGGGGTCCTTGGGCGCGGCTCAGCCATGCGCCCAGGGCCAGGCGGCGCAGGGCGCCTCGGCTGGGCGGGTACGTCTGAGCCCGCAGAGCAGCGAGTCCGGCTCAATCTTTTTACCCAGTGCGGGGGGTCTTGTTTTTCACTTACGTAGTGCGCAGCCCCGCCCCGAGCTCCGCAGAGGGCCCTTGTCCCGCGCTCCGTGATCTCCAGCTTCCCCCAACTTCGGCAGGCCCTGCAGACTACCCGTCCACCCAGCTTCCCCAAAGCCCGGAGCCCAGCCCTGCAGGAGCTCACCCTGAGGCCCAAACGGTACCCAGGAAATCCAACCCAAAAGCTGCCATAGGGGGTTGAAGACTCCCCCACCCCAAGCATAAATATGCACATTGTATCTCCTTTAGAGATTCTCAGAAGTACATGATTTAACATTTTAAAAAATTTCAAAGTAACGCATAAACACATTCTCCTTGTTTATAAGAAAGAATGGTGCATTACACGTAAGGCCAAACCTCCCCCTCTGCTCAGCCGGCACCCCCTTCCATTCCTACCCGTTCTGCGCCGTTCGGCCCCCTCCCGTGCCGGCTCCGTGCTATTCCCCAGGAGCTCACCCCACTGCAAGCCTTGACCTCGGCGGGCCCCTGGGGGGGGGGCCGCCCCCGCCCCAGGCACGGCGCCGACCCCACGTGCCGTGGCTGTGTCCGGTTGGCCGTCCCGCGCACTGCGCCGCGGCCACGACGAAACCCGACTCGCGCCTGACGCGCGTAGACGCGAAGTAAAGGCGGATAAGTGAAAACGGGTGACGGCGCCTCTGGCCGGCGCGGACACTCTGGACTCCCCTCCAGGAGTCCAGGTCTGCATTTCCCTCGTCTTCTGAGGGTCCTTTCCCAAAGCGCTTCCTTTAAATCCCGCAGGGCCTTGGCCTCAGGGACGACCCGACACGGGCGCCTACCACCTGAGAAAGGTGGGCGCGAGTCTCCACCCCAGACCACCTTTGCGGAAGCCGACACCTGGCCTGCCTGCGCCCCGCCGTCTCGACCGCGTCTCACCTCCCCAGCTGCCCTATCGGCCCCGGGGGCGCTCCCGCGCGTGCGGGGCGGGACACGCGCGAACCTCCCAACCTGGTTGGCCGCCGCCCCGCCCGCCCTCCCGCCGGCCCTAGCAACCGTTGCTAGGGGGCGTGGCTCGGCCTCGCGGAGCTGGAAGATTCCCGCGGCTCATGAATATTTGCAGATTCAGAGAAGGCCCCGCCCCCGTTGCCTTGGCGCCCAGGCCCCTCAACCCCGCGGCCGGAAGAACAACCCCAAGTCGAAGACAGCGCCTGGCGAAGGAGGACGCCCGGGACCAAGCCCCCGAGGCTGAGGCACCGGGGCCGATCCCTCAGGTGAGAGCCGAGCGTGCCTTTGGGTCCGGGGCCGCAGGCCTCGCTGTCTCCTCCCGTGTCGGGGGGAAACTGAGGCCGGGGATGGAGCAGAAAGACAGTGAGGTCCCAGTGATGCCCCAATTGTCAGATCTGGTCCCCTGGGGACCCATCCCACAACCCCTGGCCCTGCTAAGGGTCTCGTGGTCACCGGGACAGGAGGGACCCCAAGCCCTGCCTAGGGACCCACTCTGGGAGTTTCCATGATGGGGACCTAGGAGGGGAGAGGCCCTACCCTCAGAAGGGATAGCAGGTGGAGGGGACCCAGAGAGGTGATGAGCCCGGCCAGGAGCTGGTGTTAGTCTGGGCCGTGGAGAGAGAAAGGCCACCACATTTCCAACTTCGGGGGCTCATGGAGTGGCAGGGCAGGATGGGATCAGGGCCATGAACAGTGTGGATGGGTCCAGGCCAGTGAGTAGATGTGAAGGGATAGTGTCTCAATGGGAACCTCAGCCTCCAACCCAGGCCCTGCTCCTTGGACCCCAAGACCTTTGGCTAATCTGGACCCATACTCTGGGCCTAGTCATGGGCAGGACCTCAGGTCAGCTGTTCTCAGGCACAAAGGGAAGAGGGTGGCCCACTGGCGTCCCAGGCCACAGTCTGGCCAGACCATCCCTTTCCCAGAGCCCAAGGCTAGCAGCCCTGGGGTAGGTGGGGGCAGCATCTTCCTAGGGGGCCTGGTGCTGGGGTCCTCCTTTGAGGCTTAGGGCCGTTCACCAGCTGGAGAAAGGCAGGCAGCAGAGGAACTTTCGGAAAGAAATCCTGGCCAGAAATTCCGCGAGGCTCTTCGTGAGGCTCCCCTGCATGGCCTTCACCTCCTTGGGTCCTTGGTGTGTGGTCATTTTCCAGACAAGGGCACGTGGAGCCCGGGCAGCTTGTCCCAAGGCCCAGCTTGTCCCACCCTCTCTGTCAAAGGCTAGCTGATCACCCCCGCCCCGGGGAGGATGAATCTTGACCATCCACAGGGGGTGATAGACAAGAACAGTGGCCAGAAGCTGCATCTGCCACATTCACTGATTTTGGGGGGGATATTCTTGAGCCCCTGTTCTGCACACTGGACATGGCAGGTGAGTGTCCTGCCCACACAGAGCTCACTTGCTGTCTCAGGCAAGGCACTCACTCAACTGAACTGAGGGCTGTAGAAGGGGGTCGGTCTTATCAGGTAGTAAGTCCAGGAAGGTCGGGAGGGAGCACAGGGGTAGGGGTTGGCGAGGCCCTGATCCAAGGTGGAGGGAAGAAGCCAGGATTTCCATACAGACTTCTGGCTCTACCCTCAGAAATGATTCCAGGGTCTGGGGCCAGGCACAGGCATCTATGTCTTTAAGGAGCAATGCCAGGTGAGCCTAGTGCAGGTGGACCACCTCCTGTGGGCCTGCGGGTAACGCCCAAAAGGGACAGGGTGCCTGGGAGGCCAGCCCACAGGGGATGGTCCAGAGCAACAGGCCAGGGACCCCTTTTGGAGAGGGTAAAGTTGGGGATGGAGGGAAGTGGGGATTTGAAGACCAAGCATTTGCATTGGATGGACCCAGAGGCACCCTAGCGTCGGTCACCCATATGGCTGTCTTTCCAGTCAGCCGGGCCAGGTGCCCCATCAGGATGGTTGAAAGGACCTAAGGGCCAGCCCCCAGGCTGGCATCTGCTCACTTCTGGGCCCTGTGGCCTTGGCCCAGCCTGTCCCAGGTCCCTCGAGCATGGTGACCTGGCCAGGAGGCCAACCTGACTGTCTCTCCCGCAGGTGCTGCCTGGGACCACATGCTGCCCTCTTGCCTAGATGTTTGACCCACGGTGGGAAAAAGCAGCTGCCTCCAGGTGAGGGGGTCTCAATGGGCACAGGGGTAGGGGGGGAGTGCCTGAGACCCTGGTCCTGAGCCCCCCAGGGTCGGAGACCATCAGGTGGAGAAGGACACACAGCACAAGGCCTGAGGCAGAGGCTTGCTGCTGGTTACAGCAGCAAATGGGCGAATGGGACCTCGAGGCAGCCCCCCTCCCCGGCCTACATGGGGCCTCAGAGGGCAGGCCGGAGCTGGCACCCCGCGTGGACCCTGAAGGACGGGCAGAAGCACAGGGAGGGTGGCCTGCCCAGGCCAGGGGTGTGAGCCCAGGCTGAGGGAGGAGACGGCAAGGCCCCCGGGCAGGCTGGGGCTTCACCATTACAGCCTTCTCCGGGCCAGAGGTGGGCTCCGGGGGCTTGTTGTGTGCGTGCATACATCAAGGGCTGCACAGGGTCTTGGCTGGGCTGTGGATCAGAGGAAGAGCAGAGGCTGATCAGCTTTGCCCTCTGCCTACACCCAGCAGGTTGGATGTGAATGGACCAGGCCTGGGACAGAGCCCATGGGCCTTGGCCAAGCATAGCCAGTGTCCAAGTGCGGGCGCTGAGCTGGCAGAGCTGGCACAAGCCCCGCCCCCAGAGCAAGGCCCCGGGCAGCCGAGGGGGCAGCCACAGCGGGCGGCTGCCAGAGGAGCACCTGTCACCTGCCCGACTGGTGAGTGCCGGGGGGCTGGGCTCGGCTGCAGGGGCCCGCGTGGATGACAGGTGCCCTCGGCTCGCTGGGGCCCCTGCGCCTGCTCCACCCTTGGGCCGACCCCAGGTGCTTGGTGACACAGACGTCCCCCAGGCATTCAGGCCGCAGAAGGGCCCGAGCCAGGCCCAGCCTCAGATTTGCTGAGCCCCTACCGTGCGCTGGGCTCCAGGGACCCCTCCGTGAACCAGAGAGAAGGCCCCTCATTCCCGTGGGAAACAGGGTGACAGCCCATCCAAGCGCGTGGCGCACAGACAGGGAGCCACGAGCAGAGGAGGGAGCAGGCCATCTGCAGGGCGGGGCATCCTGGGGTCCCACTGACCGCATCTGGCGCAGTTGTTGAAGCCTCTCTCCCAAACCTGGGGTGCGGTGGCAGCTGCTTCCCACCCCCACACTGGGACCCAGCAGGTTCTGCAGAGCCCTCTCGCCTGCAGGTTCCTGCCCAGTGACCCCAGAGAGCAGCCCTGCACCTCCTGGTGACCGGACCCCTTCCCTTTCTGGCCATTGCTCTCGCCCGTCATTGGCCACGCTAAGGGCCAGGTGCTCCCCAGCACCCCTCCAGCCCGCACAAACACTTGCACCCAGGTGAGGGACCCTTGGAGACCCTGGGGTGACGCACCCATCAACACTCGACAGAAGGAAGCCTGGCTGCTTGAGGTCCCCACGCACCTTCCTGACCAACTCGGAGAAGGGTCCACGAGGTCTGGTCACTGCAGGTGGACAGGACACTCCCGCCGGCCCCCTCCCCACACCCCCCAGCAGCCCCTGTGTGTCCGCCCTCCAGCCAGGCCTGCAGCGCCCACAGTACCCAGGGTCCTGGTCCAGTGTGGACCCGTCACGTCAGGCCGCCGACCCCAGCTGCTGCATGGGCTGGGTGCTGGGGACACGCCTTGATCAGAGCTACTCCGTCCACCCTGGGACCTCCCCCTCCCCCACCCAGCTCCTGGCTGGGGAGAGAGCCTGCCTGTGTGAGCGTGGCCTAAGCACCCCAGGACCACCCTTGCTTCCTAACATATTTGAGTCCGGTGCCCACCATGCCAAAGCGTGGCTGCTGAAGCATTTCCCTCGGTCACTGGAACTGGGGGTCTCAGGCCTCTGTCCTCCCAGACCCTCTCGCATGTAGTCAGCATGTGGCAACTGGTTTCTCCCTGAGGCTGAGTCTTACTGAGTCATCCTAACTCCAAGCCCTTCTTCATTTTTTCTTTTACTGGTTTGAGCTGAGAAGCCATTTTATTTTCCAAGCCACGAGTTCCAGGACCCCTGGGCTCTCTCCACCAGCTCTGAACTCTGCCTTGTGTAAAACCTCATCAAATGCAGTGAACTGTGGCCAGCTCACTCTGCCCACAATTGCCTGGCACCTCTCCACCCCCATCACAGGTTCATTGTGTGTGTCTTCTGCCATCCAGGTTACTACAGGAGACCCTTTTACCAAAAATTCCATTGTCACATGACCTGGGTCTCCATCTTTCCAGCTTTAGTAACACTCACGTCACACGCCCCCCACCAGTTCCCATCCAGTGTCACATCGTTTCATCATTTTTGTTATGGTAGCTATTGGAGCTGCACCTAGATCCCAAGTTTTGTATGAGTCAGCTATTGCTATAGTGATGCTACGTAACGAACAACCCCCAAACTCAACAGCTTACAGTGCAGGTGTACCGTCCATGGGTTTGAAGGAGGCTGGGGCTCGGCCATGCTGAGCAGAGCTGGGCTCCCGGCCCCAAGCTGCACTGGGTCTGTTCCATGGGTCTCGTTAGGACACCAGCACACCTCAGGTCACACCCTTCTCTGGCAACGGCCCCACCAGCCACACAGGATCACAATCTCCACTCCCGTCACATCACACTTGTCGTCCAGCTGGAGCCAATCGTGGCCACAGTCAACATGGGTGAGGCAGGGAAACGCCTGCCCCCTGCTCCAGGCTTGCAGCCAAAAGCAGCAGTTTCACTGGGGGGCAGGGCGGGGTGTGTGTGACTTCTGTCCAACTCTTAGGGCTGACTCCCCACCGACCCCTGCAGCAGGCCCTGGCCCAGGTGGATGACC